TTCTAGACAGATTTTTTCTAGACAGGAGCACCTCTGCTGCCTCATCAAACCCTTGACAGTGGCCTCAAAGACTTCAGTTCTGTTCTCCCCTCATCTCCCGCCTGACCTCTCCACGCCACTTTTTCTGTGGGCAGATAAACTGCTTCCAGCTTGATGTGGAATCACATTCCCTGAAGGGGAACCGCTTTGAGCCTCCGTCACAGACACAGAGGTGAGGGGGACTCTCCCCACTGGTCTGACCACTGCATCAACCTCGGTCACTTCTCTATGGCACCAGGGTGAATGGGTCCACCCTGCCTTTCTCTCTCCCTAGAAGCAAGGCCACCTCTGCCTCTTTTGCCAAGTCCCCCCTATAGCATGTGGCAGTGGGACACCCCGAGGAGGAAAAGCTGCCAGGAAGTGTCCAGAGTCCTTGGCCTTGGGTGAGAAGGTGGAGTCCTCTGGGGCTACAAGGGGAGCTTTCTCTGCTCAGTAGCGTCAACTTCCTTGCCTATGAAATGGAAATAACAACTCTGACCAGCCAACTCAGAGGGCTTTTGTAAGAATCCGATGGGGAAAATAGATTTGGAGGAAACCTTTGAATCGCTGCTTAGACCCTTGGGTCCAAGACTCTCAGGCACTGTTCTGACCTCCTGCCCCTCCGACGGGCAGTCTCTTCACTGTGCCCATCCTGTTAGCTTCTCCAGCAATAACAAAGCAGTTCTGAGCATGGGCTCTGGAGTCAGGCTGTCGAGCGTTTCATGCCGGCTTTCCTACTTGACAGCTGTGTGACCTTTGGCAAGTTAACTCACCTCTCTGATCTTCAGTTTCCCCACCTGAAAGTGAGGATAAGAGGGAAGCCACCTCAAGGGTTGCTGTGAGATGCTGTATGAAAAGCATCCGACCAGCAGCTAAGATTGTTAGTGCCTATTGCTCTTCATGTTCTTTCTTTGAAGACCCCCAACCTGTTGATGACAGTCCGGCCAACACTGATAAAGTCAGGGTAAGACCCAACATGAAGCTCAGAGGCATCCTGGAAAAAGCCAGTTCTCAAGAGGTGGTCCACAGACGTTTGGGAAGCCTCAAGGTCCTTTTAAGGATCCACAAAACCAAAACTGTTGTCAAGATAATTCTACTTTGTCTCTTTCACTGTGCTGACATTTACACCTATGGTGCAAAAGCAATGGCTGGTAACACAGGTGGAGCCCTAGCATGAATCCGGGCAGTGGCACCCAACTGTGCAAACATCGTTGTACTCTTTACCAGAAACAAAGAAAAACACTTAACACCGTTTTATGAAGCAGTGCATATTGTCAATCGTATTATATCTGGACCCTCCAGTATCCTTCTTTTTAAACTCTGTGTGACAAAATCAGGCCTGGCATAAGGTACTTCAGGTAGACCCTACAGAATGAGAGTTGTTCAAGGAAACTCAGACCTGCTGATGCGCGATTTTCAATATGAATGAGCGCCTTTGTCATGAAAAAAAAAAAAAACCAAAACATTTTACTTGAAAGAATGACTGACAGACTGACTCTCAAACTATCTTATTCAGATGTGGGAGTTCCACCAGACCTTTTCTTAAAAATGAATGAAGTGAGCTTGTCACTTCAGGGAAAGTCGCTGCCAATGTTGCCTAAGATAAAATGCAAGCTTCCAAGTGAATGTGGGAAGACTTGTATCTGCTATCATGAGCTTGTCAGCTTCCGAATACTTACTTTTCTAATAAGATTGATGGTAATGTTAATGAATGTGATTTTTTTTGGATTGTAGAATGAAATCTGTTAATATTTGGAAGGTCAGCATGAGACCAGTGAATGGGCATTTCTCCAATGACCAAAGCATGATGTTACAAATCATGAATAGTAAAAGACCCATTTAAAGTGTAACTTAGACCAATGGATTATATGGAAAAAAAAAATATGGAAAGTTCATTGATATGGTTCTAGACTCCACATGGCAACTAACCATTCTGAAATCACTTGTCAAGTTTCGAATATCAAAGAAGAATCCCCAAATTATCTGCAAAAACCATTAAAATATTTCTCCATTTCCCAACTATATCTCTGAGCAAAGGCAGACTTTATATACTTCAAGAAAACAGCATATTGCAATAGATTAAATGCAAAATCAGATAGGAGAATCAAGTTGTCTTCTAAGATGTAAAGAAGATATGCAAAGATATAAAACAATGTCATTCTTCCTGATATTTTGTTTTTGAAAATTTTTCATAAATATGTTATTATGTTAACATGTAATGGGGTTACTTTTGTTATTTTTCAGTGATTTAATAAATCAATATTTTAAAAACATGTTTTAATTTCTTATATGGTAAATATCAGCAGGTGTAGTCTATATAAACTAGATCTATTTGTAGTCCTCAATGATTATTTTAAGAGAGTAAAGAGATCTAAGGCCAAGAAGTTTTAGAATCACTGCTATAAATGTTTGAGAGAGAGACAAGCAGAGAGCAAATGAGAGTAAATTGAAGCTCCTTGCGACAAGCACAGAAAGTAAGTCCTACTGCACTCTATTGGTCAGTTCACATGAGGAACATTCTGGAATATCTTGTCCAACTCTGAGCATCACACTCTAATAGGGATGCTGACAAATTGCTGGCACCACCCAAAAAGAGTAACTGGACTATTAAAGACTATGAAAACTATGTCTCATTGAGCAAGAGAAATAATTTGGTAAATTTACCCTGGAGAAAAGCAAAAATAAAAATAAAAACTAATCTTATGAAATCACAATAGCTTCTTCAAATCTCTGAAAGGTTATCAGATAAAATTGAAACCACAGGAATGTATAAAAACAGTCCCAAATGTGCATTTCGTTCTACCCAGGATTTTTTTGTTTGTTTGGTTTCTTCTCATTTCCTTCTTTTTTTCATCTTTCTTTTTCTAGTTTTCCTTCATTTTCTTACTCTCTCCCCTTTCCTTCTTTTCATTTTTCTCCCTTAATTATTCACAATAGATAACAGACATCTTTTTTTTAAGTTTTATCTTTCCTTTCTTACAAAAGTGAGTGAAGGAAGAGAAGAAGAAACAGAAGAGGAGGAGGAGGAAGAAGAGAAGGACCCTGGCTGGTGTTGCTCAATGGTTAGAACATCTGCCTGTGCACTGGAGGGTCTCAGGTTTGATTCCTGGTCAAGGGCACATCCCTGAGTTGCAGGTTTAATCCCTGGCCCTGATTAGGGTGCTTTTGGGAGGCAACTAATCAATGTGTCTCTCTCACATCGATGTTTCTCTCTTTCTTACCACTCACCACTCCTTTCTACTCTGTAAAAATCAACAGGAAAAATATCCTCGGGTGAAGACTAACACAAGAAGAAGAGGAAGAAGAAAAAGGAGGAGAAGGAGGAGGAGGAGGAGGAGGAGGAGGAGGAGGAGGAGGAGGAGGAGGAGGAGGAAAAGGAGGGTAGCTAATCAGCAAATGAATAAAAGGTGAAATGGAGCTATCCCCATGGAGACACATTACACGGCTTTAAAGACAAGGAGAAAGGTGGATGGTAGTTGGTGGAGAACCCAGACTAATTACTTATTCTTTTCTATTTCATGGTTATCATAATTTGAATGATGAACTAGACCAATCTCTTCTCACACACACTAGAATTAATAAGTAATGCCGTTACTAGACAAGAAACATTGAACTTCTACATCACTTGATTTCTCTAAGAACAAAATGCCAGAGATAAAGATTATAGAGAATATCACAACTTTTGATGTGGATACTAGCACAGCTATAATTGATCTTTTGATTCATAGTCATAATACAACTATTATTTTATCATAATAATATCAACTAGCATTTGCTGATCATGCATTATGAGTGTTCATTGTTTTAAAGACACATATAACACATTTATTTAATCCTCACAACTTCCCTTTTTGCAGAAACTGAGATAGAGAGAGTTGAAGTAACTTGTTCACATTCACCCAGCAAATAAGTGTTGGAGCCAAGACTCTTTAGGAGTGTTACTCCTTGGCTCATCCCAGGCAAAGCAGAGAAAAACTAAATTGAATGGGTCAAGAACAGGAAAGGTGAAGTAATTCTGAGGTTGCCAGGACACTTCCATTTCAGAAAAGTTCTGGCATGAAAGGGGAACAAACTGGCCTTTAGGTACTCTCGGTTCCTTTTTCCTAGTGGCTCAGGAACAGACAATGGTTTTCCCTGAGCCAAATGGACTAGGCCCTGCTGGCACTAACCACATAATTATGTTCTTTGAAATTCTAGTTGTCTGGTGGCTGGAGCATTGAGGTTCACCTGAAGAACCCTGAGAACTGCTGAAGAGCAGAAAGCAAAAAGTTTTTCTTATAAATGGTCCTCCCAATCTGATTCCATATCTGCACACCTTTACAGCAGTTACTGAGTGCCTTCCTATTCATGATTTCTTTTCATTTTCACAACAAGCCTAAGGTAGACAGGGAGGTGTTGTGACCTCTGGATCTTTGCACATCCTGTTCCTCTTCTTGAACATTCTTTCTCCTCCCCCTGGTCTTATGTTATTGCTTAGTCATCTGGCTTATGATTTCTTATGTTTTAGAGAGGAAAATAGTGTCTCAAACAAATACCTTTCATTGGTTCTGGACTAGATGAGATAATAACCTATGTCTCTTAAGGGGAATAAACATCCATATCAGCCCAGCCTTGGCTGCTTGGGTAAACTGGAAATACTCAAGGATAAGAATCCAAGCTACTTAGAACTTTACAAGCCTCGTATCAGTTGGGGGTAGATTTATTATCATTGTTACGGAGTAAGAAATGTATTATAAAAACTAGACCTTACACAATTATGGGAGACGCTGGGGAAGTGAAAGTCTTAAAGGAATATCTGAAAGATCAGAAAAGGAGTCAGTAAATCTGAAAAGTTAAGCATCTGCAGCCACCAAAGTGAGCTACCAAAGGGGTAGTGCATGAACAGGTCTGTGGGAAGCCATCACCTCTTGGGAGTCTGTGGGATCCAAGTATGAGGTGGCAGGCCTGGAGCTGCTGGATGTCAAGAGGAAGAGCCAGGTGAGCTGAAGGCTACCAGGTACCTCTGCACCTGTCATCACATCTGACCACAATGACCTTTAGGGAGTAACAGTGGCTGCTGCTTCACTTCTGCCTTCCAAATCTTGTACAAGTTCCTCTTTTGCTCAACTCTGGCCTGGAACCATAAAGGGAACCATATGTAGTTCCCAGCTAAGCCAAGTTGACACAGCGAAATCCAGAACACACTTTTGAGCAGAAAAAGGCAAACTAAAGTAAGGGTCACTAATGTGGGAGGGGATGTCCCATTAGAGTCACCCTTGACTCCTCATATCTCCCACATGCCCAGTTTTTCATCAAATTCTCTAGCTTTGATCGGCACAATGACACACACATTTATCACCTCTTCTCTATCACCGTGGTCATCACCGGAGTTCTGATTCTCTTTACCATTTTTCTTAAAAAGTGAATGTTTTTCGTGTCCTCTATTCATGCTGCTCTCTCTGGCCTATGCATTCTTTGCATTTGATACCTCTCCCTAGAACGCTCTTCTCCTTTATACTTCAAGTATCCATTTAAATATTACTTCCTTTTGGACGAATTTTTGAATCCCTCCAAAAATCTGATTTAGGGGCTTCTCTATTTTAGCATTTATTACACTTTAAATATTATTTAATTATCTTTTTTCTGCATCTTCACCTACTAGTGCCTTGCATATAGGAACTCAATAATTGTTAGGTGGTTGACAGAATGAATGAATAAATGAGTAATAAGTCTCTCCATTTCCAGTATATCTTCCCTTTAATATATTCTATATTCTACATAGAAATCGATGTTTTTGAAAGCTTAAACTTCTTCCGTGGGCTAGTCATTGCCAGTGGAATAAAATTTAGAAACTTCATCTGGGCATTCAAGAGCCACCACATGTGATCCCAGCCTCTTTTCTAAATATTTCCCATCAGTCCTCTACATGTTTTCCTGCAGACAACCAAACTGAACTGTAGGTTCTTCCCTGACAAAGAGTAATTATTTGCCATAATAATCTCAAACGAACAGCCTTTATTTATTAAGCACATATTATTTACTAGGCACCATGATAAACATTTTATATATGATATTTTATTGAATCATCAAAATAAGAGATGAGAATGCATTCCTCATTCTAGACATAAAAACACTAAAGTTCAGAAGGATAAGTCACCTGCCCGAGGTCACACAGCGAGGAAATGATAAAACCAGTGCTTAAACTCATATATTATCTGATTCCACAGTCAAGATTATAACCACTCTACTGAATTGCATCCTTCTTTAAGCGGCTCTCAATAACTGTCTGTTTAAATGATTAATTAGGTGCTTACCAAATGAAATACTTGGAATAGTTTATCATTTGAATTCTCAAACAGCTTTATTGGGGAAGAACTACTATTTCCAGATTATAGATGATAAAAGTGAGACCCAAAGAGGAAGTAACTTAGTGGGGGTCACATAGATCAAAAGGGCAAAACTGAACTTGAAGCCTGATCTGCCTGCCGACAGAGCTGGAGGACCTAATCACTGTCAAAATCTCGGCTAACCTCTTGTCTAAGTGTCCTATGGGTAAGGGGACAGTTCTCAGGGAGGCTAAGTGACAGCCCCGAGGGTGGTACACTAGGACTCTGGCTTGCTGTCCGGTGTGTTTTTATCATAAGATCTGTCTCCTTCCCTGACCAGAAATTGGTCCTAGGCCACAGCATGATAAGAGCCAAGTCTTGCCGACCAGACAGTGGGAGCACGCCCAGCCCGCTCAGCCTTTGCTCGTTCTGTACCCCCTGCCTATTAAAATTCAATTTCACTCTGCTGGCCCTCAAGCCATCTGTTTCCTGTTTTCTAAGAATACAGGGAAGAGTGAATCAGGGAGATGTTGTGCCTGCCTTCCAGGAGCTTCAAAATAAAGAGTGGCAGTGCGGACAGGAACACCGTGACCATGAAACAAAGGTTCCATGAAAACAAGCACACAGGGCTTTCCATTCACACCGCTGCGGAGCCGGGGAGTCCTGAAAGCCGCAAGCTTATCCCGAGCTGGTTCTAGGGAAATTATCACCTTCCTGGAGAAATTTTAAGAGCTGAAATGCTGCAAGAGGAACCCATCCACCCAGAAACTGGGCATTGGGTGGGGCTAGGGCGCCGCATGAAGGCATGGAGGTAGGAAAGGCATTTCAGAATGAGATGCAATTTTTTTTTCATGTATTTAATCCCTTTTTTTTTTTTTAGGATTGTTTTATTCCTGTAGAAAATGCCATTGGAATTTTTTTTATTATTATTGCTTAAAGTATTACAAAGGGTATTACATATGTGTCTTTTTTTTTTTTTTTCCGCCCTTGACAGTCCCCTGGCCTCCCCTACCCCCCAGTGTCTTATGTCCGTTGGTTATGCTTATATGCATGCATACAAGTCCTTCGGGTGATCTCTTACCCCCCTCCCTCCTGCCCCCCAAATCCTCCCCGGCCTTCCCGCTGCAGTTTGACAATGTGTTTGAGGCAGCTCTGCCTCTGTATCTATTATTGTTCAAAAATTTATAATGGTCTCTATTATCCATGAATGAGTGAGATCATGTGGTATTTTTCCTTCAATGACTGGCTTATTTCACTTAGCATAATGCTCTCCAGTTCTATCCATGCCGTTGCAAATGGTAAGAGTTCCTTCTTTTTTACAGCAGCATAGTATTCCATCATGTAGATGTACCGCAGTTTTCTAATCCATTCATCTACTGATGGGCACTTAGGCTGTAATCACTTCTTTTTTAAAAAAAACATCCTTAGGATGCACTTAGTGACCCAGGAATTGTATGAGAGCTTAAAACAGAAGAGCTTAACCTAAATTAACCGTGATAAACATTTTGTATACGATATTTTATTGAATCATCAAAATAAGAGATGAAAATGCATTCCTCATTCTAGTCATAAAAACACTAAACTTCAGAAAGGATAAGTCACCTGCCCAAGGTCACACAGTGAGTAAATGATAAAACCAGTACACAGGACTTTCCATTCACACCGCTGTGGAGCCAGGGAGTCCTGAAAGCCGCATGCTTATCCCGAGCTGGTTCTAGGGGAAATTATCACAGGGAGAGAATGTCTACGCTGATATCTGAAGGTAGGAGATTGGGTAAAGACAGGGAGAGCATTGTAGGTGTGTGCAAATAGCAGGTGCGAGAGCCCTGAGGTGCGCGAGAACATAGTGCATTGGAGGAACCAAAAGAAGATCTGAGACTTGGAATGACTCAATATTTTGAATCACGGAGAGATGTTATCATGAAATGAGGTAACGGATTGGTTAACAAGCACCAAATCACAAAAAGCCCTTCAATTCACTCTATGGATTTTTATCATTAGGATGTGGCACTTTTAAAATTTGACCCCAAAATCTTTGATGCTTCTCCCATGGAGAGGAACTCTAGGTCACCAACCTGAAATCCAGGTTCCGTGATGAGGTGCCAAATTCTGGGCTCAGGTCTTAAGAGGAGGCAGCTTCTGCTTCCTGTCTTTTGGAACTCAGCCACCACGTGGTGAGGAAGCCCCAGCAGACCGCAGAGAGGCCCACATGGACAGGCCATATGGCCAGGAACCGAGGTCCCTGACCCTTAGCCCCAGGTGAGCTTGCAGATAACAGCCAGCACTGACTTGCCAACCATGTGAGTGAGCCATCTTGGAAGTGGATTCTCCATTGCCTAGTCAAGTCACTTCAGCCAATGTTGCAAGAAGAAAAGATGAGCCCTTCCGGCTGAGCTGGGCCCAAATTGTAAAGTCTTGATGTAAACAAATGATTGTTATTGTTTTCAAGACAGTCAAGTTTGGAGCATAGTCATGCATTGTTAACCGTGGGGGTAGGTTCTGAGAAGTGAGTGGTTAAGCAATGATTCTGTTGTGCGAACACTGTAGTGTGCACTTTCACAAACCTACTAGTAAATGGTCTAGCCGACTACACACCTCGGCCACCTATGGCATCTAGGCTACAAGCCTGTACAGCATGTTACTTCTCTGCACACTGTAGGCAATTATCACAGAATGGTATTTGTATATCTAAACAAACATAGAAAAAGTATGGTACCAAAGTTTAAAAAACTGGTGTAGAGCACTTACCATAAATGGAGCTGGCGGGATTGGAAGTTCCTCTGGGTGAGTCAGTGAGTGAGTGGTGAGTGACTGTGAAGGCCTAGAACATTCCTGTGCTCTACTGTAGACTCTGTAAACACTGTCCCACAAGCCCGCCCCCTACTTCCTCCCACGGTGGTCAAAATAGAACATTGAAGCTGTCCGTGTGGGCTGGATTGATTGGAAATATCGAGGAGAAACTGGCTGGGTAATAGTGCCTGCCAGGGGGGAGTGAAAGGTGGCCTGTGGATCAGTAGGAATAAGAAACCAAGATGGAGAGGTAATGGAACATAGGGGCTTGCCATGGCGGTGTGGCTTGGGCTGGTGCATGTTGGAGATGAGCAAGACTAATTTAAAGCCACCCTGTGTAAGACCTTCGTGCTCCCGCTGGGGGCTGCAGCCTTGGTGCTCTGATTGGTTAGGATTCCTGCTAGGAGTGGAGACTGGCTTTTAGCAATAGTTTCAGTGAACGTAGGCAAGTTTTGCTGGGAAAATGTCCAAGGCATTGGGGTCTTCAGACGTTGGGCTTAGAATCATTCTACTCAAGTCTTACTGCCTCTCAAGATTAAGGAGCCCCCTACCATCTCAATCTCCTGTAGAATTAATAGGCTGAAGGGGCCAGGAGGGCCGTGCTGATTCCAAGTCTAGATTTCCGAGTTCCAGTTTCTTCACATCTTCTTCAGCCCCACGGTCCCTCCCATAGAGTCAATCCCTTTCCTTCCTTCCTGGAGTCCCAGGAGTCCCTGGCCTCCCAGTGTCATGCCTTACTACTCTCCATGCACAGGGCTGAGCAAATCCAACCACGCCACTTCCCTGCCTAAAACCTATCATGGATCCCCCTGTCTTGGGTTTCAATCCAAAGTCAAGGGGCACAAGGCCACACAACCTGGCACTTGACCACCTTCCTTGCTTCCCACGCAGTCCAATCACACCAGCCATGCCGAACATCCTGGACAGTGTGTAGGGATGTGGAGGCTTTTCACACTTCTGTGCCTTTAGCCCAAACACCCTTTCTTCTCTGCCTGTTAAATAACCATTTATCTTTCAAAACCATACTCAGGCAATTACTTCTAAGAAGCCATCCCTGAGAGTCTCTCCTCCTTCTCTCGTTCTGATGTTATGCCTCTCTCACTGTATATGTTACACAGTGCTGTATTTACCCACTGGGTGTGTCTTCCCTATTAAAAGTCCAGATGCCGGTGGCTGGGGTTGCGTCTTATTCATCGTCACCACCGATTCTTACCATGGCATTTGGTATGTGGTAGGTTCCCTGTAAGGTTCTGATACATAGACTGTTCAAAGTGAAGCTCTTTGTTACCATTGAACTATAGCTTTCAGGAGACTTCTTATTGTTTATGTATGTACATGAGTTAACCAACTACAGTGACAAGCAGAACTCAAAATCTGACAATCTATATAAATATATAAAAGCATAATATGCAAATTGACCAGACTGTGGAATGACCAGTTGGCTATGACACACACTGACCACCAGGGGGCAGATGCTTAACGCAGGAGCTGTCCCCAGCCCAGAGGCCCTGATTGCCCGATGGGGAATGGGGAACCAGGGGTGGGTGGTGGCTGACACAGGTGGTGTTGGGACCCCAATCTCCCAGGCAACCAGAGGTATGATGATGGAGGATGGGGCCAGCTGCTGGCAGCCAGGGAAGATCAGCCCTGATCACAGGCCAGGCCTACGGATCCTACCCGTGCACAAATTTCGTGCACCAGGCCTCTAGTTGCTTTTTAAAGGCTGTTTCATTTGATCCTGGCAACATGAAGCCTCTCTCAAGTCCCCAGACCCACACATAGACCAGTACAGAAGTCTCAAAAAAAAAAAAGGAAATATTAGAGCTTCTCTTGATATTTTTTATCTCAGGTTTTTAAAAGTTTTATTTTTTTATATTTTATAATGCACTTGACGGTATTTGCAAATAAGGAAACATCTACTATCGAGGAGTATTTACAATTATCTCACTGATAGAACACATGATCCAGAACGTCTGGAGACATTGTGGTAGGAAACACGGCTCCACGTCCCAGCACTTGTGCAAGAAAGGCAGTGTAGCCTCCCAGCTGAGTTGCAGGGAGCGTGTTTTATAGTTTGGTGACAAATCCCTGGCTTAAATTCCCAACTCCCCATTTTTCCTATTCCTGTTTCCCAATTACTTGTTGTGGTGGTGGTAGCTGCTAGCATGTACTGAGTGCTTGCCAGGCACTGTGTTAAGCATATTCATGCATTATCTCATTTAATAATCATAATAACTCTATGAGGTAGACGCTATAATCCTTGATTTACAAATGAGGAAATGCAAGTGAAAAAACCAGCCCAAGGTCACAGAGGCTCCTGGGATAAGTAGTGTGGGGTTGAAGGTCAGTTCTGGATTCAGACATGGACTTTGGCATTCACGGTGCTGTCTCTACTTCAAGGTCAGTGACATGTTGTTTTAATGTTAGTCTAACCCTGTTACGGTCCTCCCAGCCAGAGGTGAATGAATGAAGCATGATGCATAGGGGATGCTGCATTTCTGAAGGATGTTGTACGCCTCGCAGTACCAATGAGAAACTGCTCCTATAAACAGCATAATCCTTCGACACCACTATTCTGGTGTGGGGAGCCTGAACTCAGGCCCTGTTCCTCATTACTCAGTCCCTGGTCCCAGAACTCAGGCCCTGGTTGGGCACCATATATGGGGAGCCGGCACGGCCTTGGCATACTCAGCCCCAGGGCGCCTTATGTGCCATGCTAGCTCAGCCTGGTTCAGTGACCCTGAGTGGGGGTGATGAAAGGTTTAGAAAAGACAGACATGAGAATGAAAGCTGGGTTTTGGTGGGACGCTGCTCCTCTGATAGACAGCACCAGCGCCCACAAGCCGTCTTTATTTTGTAGTAGATGCCACGAGGCAAAGTAAGGGTGTGATCAAGATGTTTACAACATTCTCGTTGGTTTCAATCCTACTCAACTGCATGCACCTGAACTCTACCAAGCCCACATTACTCAGGCACATGAGCCACGTGTTCGAACCATAGGTTCAAGCTCACAACTATAGG